CAGTAAGCTTCCTACATGTTTATGAGTGAGAGAGTAACAACAGAAGACTAAGCCAGTTGTATTCATGAGTGTGATTTCTCTGCAGTGTGAGTTTGTTCATGTCTCCGAAGGTAACTGGATCTAGCAAAGGCTTCATCACATTGTTGACATTCATAGGGCTTCTCTCCAGTATGTGTTCTTCCATGTCTGTGAAGGTGACTGGATCTAGCAAAGGCTTTGCCACATTGTTGACATTCATAGGGCTTCTCTCCAGTATGTGTTCTTCCATGTCTGTGAAGGTGACTGGATCTAGCAAAGGCTTTGCCACACTGCTTACACTCATAGGGCTTCTCTCCAGTATGTGTTCTTCTATGTATGTGAAGCTCACTAGATGTAGCAAAAGCTTTTCTACACTGCTTGCATTCATATGGCTTCTCTCCAGTATGAAACCGTTCATGTACCTGAACAGAAGAGAATGTAGCAAAGGCTTTTCCACATTGTTGACATGCATAGGGCTTCTCTCCAGTATGTGTTCTTCCATGAATCTGAAGGTTACTGGATCTAGCAAAGGCTTTGCCACACTGCTTACATTCATAGGGCTTCTCTCCAGTATGTGTTCTCCCATGGATGTGAAGCTCAGTGGATGTAGCAAAGGCTTTTCCACATTGTTGACATTCATAGAATTTCTCTCCAGTATGTGTTCTTTCGTGGATCTGAAGGTGACACGACCTAGCAAAGGCCTTTCCACATTGTTGACATTCATACGGCTTCTCTCCAGTATGTGTTCTTTTGTGTACATGGAGCTGAGAGGATGTAACAAAGGCTTTCCCACACTGTTTACATTCATAGGGCTTTTCTCCAGTATGAATTCGTTTATGTATCTGAACATAAGAGGATGTAGAAAAGGCCTTTTCACATTGTTGACATTCATAAGGTTTCTCTCCAGTATGAGTTCGTTCATGTGACACAAGGGCAGAGGGCTTAGCGAAAGCTTTGCCACACTGCTTACATTCATAGGGCTTCTCCCCAGCATGTGTTTTCTGATGTATTCTAAATAAACTGGGGTAAACACAGTCTTTCCCACATACCTCACATTTAAAAGGTGCATTTTCAGTGTGTGTGATCCTGTGCCTTTGAAGACTTGGAAGTGAAGTACAGGTCCGACCACCTTCTTTACATTCACAGAGTTTCTCTCCAGAATGAGTTCTTTCATGTCTTCTAACTAAAGAGGAGGAATGAACGGCTTTCCCACATACCTCACATTGAACAGGTTTACCTCCACTCTGTGTTCTCATGTGTCTTGGAACACCTGTGGGAGAAGATGAGGCTTCACCACATTGTTGATATTCATAGGGTTGCCACCCAGTATGAGTATCTTCATGCCTTTGAATGTCACTGGAACGACTGATGACTTTCCCACATACTCTATTTTCATAAGGTCCATCTCCAGTCTGTGTTAACATTTGTGTGTGAACGCTTTTGGGAGTAACCACAGATTTCCTGCAATGTTTCAATTCACATGGCTTCTCTGCACATTCCTCATGCTTGTAGGGTTCATGTCCAGAGTGACATGTGACGTGCCTATGACAAAATAAAGGACATGTAGTCTTTTGTATACATAACACACTTACATGTATTTACTGTATCAAAATTTGTCTTTGTCCAGTTAAGAACTGGAATCTCATTGAAAGTTTCCCCACACTATCTTCTTGGCCTCTGAAGTTTACCACATGGCTTCTTTGAAGAATGACCAGCACATTATCAATGCTTGATTCATTCACATTGTTCTATTTATTTAAAGATCATAAGCTTATGTTACTATGAACAACAGGTAAAGGCTAGGTTTTCTGACTTGTTCAAATGGCCTGAAAATCAAGAGATTGAAAGGAAACAATCGTTTACAACACAGCTTCCCTATGGCTCTCATGCAAATAGTGATATTCACATATGCAATTTCATAGTACTTTTTGCATGTCAAGCACTTTGAAAACACTGAATATCTGTTACAGTTAAGTATATATTTCCTGCAAAAAAAAAAATCTTGTAAGAATAAATACATTTCAAATTGTGCATATTTCTCTGGTTGGTTTGTTTTAAATATTATATGACATTCTCAGATTCCCTCCAGGATTCCTCTTGTGAGTACAATTACCTTAGAATGCTCCCAGAATGTTCGATCTGATCTTCAATGGTCTTGTCTTCCCATTTGTTTCCTAAAATGCAAAACCAGAATGATCTTTATAAATTTTTAGGAGCTAGAAATGCTTTTCCAAATCCTAGGTGTCATTTATGCTGCAATAATTCAACAACTGATTCTCTTTTCACCTTCTACATAAATGACCAAAATAAACATGAGTTCTATTTGATTAATTTTAAAAAAAACATCATTATTACCTATAGAAGCCAGGTTTCTGAGGACCTCCAGCATCACATCTCTGTAAAGGTTCTTCTGGGAAGCATCCAGCAAAGCCCACTCCTCCTGGTTGAAGTTCACAGCCACATCCTCAAAGGTCACTGAGATCTAAAATATCCCACCAAATGTATAGTGGAGGCCAAGAAAGATTGACAGCATGAGAAATCTACACTCAACATGCATGATGTTCACATGATTCCCTGGCCTCCTAATTCATTCCACAATTTGGTCCATGAAATCCTTACTGCATTTGATTGTTCATGGCCATTCCAGCAGTAGAATTGGGCCACTCAAAAGGCAAACAGTAGAACGTTGGACACCCTTCCTTTGGTGTGTTCACAGGAAGTAAGAAAGCCTTCCAGGTCACTCCTAAATTCTCTGTTGGCTTTAACTATTACAGGTCCTAACATTATCCTGTGCAGTAGAGAGCTTACATTAACACTCCCAATATTACTTAAACTTAGAAAAGAAAGCTGACTGAGTAGAAAATTGCTGGAATCACAAAACAGCATTTCTGACAGATTCTGCCAACCACAGTGGCTCACTGGGCCTCTACAGTTAATGTCAACAACATGGAAATTACTGATCTCCCATTTCCTTCTGAAAGTTTATTGTTCCCTCCTTAAATAAATGCCTAGAATTAGGCCCCACCCACAACCTCTGGGCATGGGTCACTAAGGATCTTCCCTCATAGACAATATTTAGACAACATTTCACACAGTTAGTCACAATGTGTTCACTGGGGATTGAGCTCAATTTGGTTGATTATAACAAGAACAAATAGAAGTTTGCAGGTGATTTACTCCAGAGGAAAACTAAGCCAACTAGTAATCAAACACAACGATTAACACCTTTATTCATTTTATTTTAATATAATGCTGTGAACCAAACTCAGTGCCTCACAAATGCTAGGCAAGCAATCTACCAGCGAGCCACAACCCCAGCCCCAAGCACCATGATTAACAAACATGAAAATTTGACAATACCCGGTGGTTAATGCCAAAGCAGAACGGAGTGTGTGGAAAGATGGCATGTGTCTCAGAAATAACTCAATGTGCCCAAGATGTCACCTTGTCAAAAACAACAGCCTTACAAAGCTGTATAAGTCTGAAAAACAGCCTTCTTACAAAGCTGTATAAGTCTGAAAACAGCCTGTATAAGTCTGAAAAACTGACAGCAGAAAGTGCTCTTCCAAACCTCATGTCAACAATGAATATCCAAGGATTGTCAAATTCCTCTGAACAGCAGATGTCTCACTCAGATGATGGACAACTATGAGGCACACACCAATGTTCTGCTCAAGGACACTTTGATCAAGAACGGGCCACATGTGCAATGGTTGTCTGAGCACAGTGATGGTGCAGGCAAACTGGAATCTACATGGCAAAAGGCACTCCCTCCATCCCTCTATTCTGCAGACAAAAGTCCATGGATTACACATTGAAATGTGAAAGACTAAAACACTTTTCAGAAAGTTAAAGGAAACATGGTTTTATTTATGTATTTATGGTGGGGCAGATTAAAAACATAGCAGAAATCAAATCCAGTCCAGGGGATAAAAATCATGCAGCCACATCCCTCTCACATTTTTTTTTTTTTGGTGCTGGGGATCGAACCCAGGGCCTTGTGCATGCAGGGCAAGCACCCTAACAACTGAGCTATATCCCCAGCCCTCACATTTGAAGTTTTAAGACAGAGTCTTGTCTGTTGGCTTCCCTTCTGTCCCACCACACTGGCACTCAGGGGAGTCTAGAAATGGACTGAACACAAGCCAATTCACCACACACACCGCAGACCAAGCAGTTTCTAAGCAAATGCATGAAGCCTTCAAGAAACAGGAAGAGCACCCTAGGAGAAAGGGGAGAACACATTTCCATCCACTTTTCAACAACAAAATGTACAAAGAATACTGAAAAACAGGAAGCCATGGCTCAGCAAAGGAAAAACACATGACTTGAGATTGACCAACCCTGAGCAAGATCAGACTTCAGAATCCCTAGGTTAAATTTTCTTCCTTCGTTTCTTTCTTCTTTCCGGTTTTTCTTTCTTTCCTTCTTTTTCTTTTCATTTCTTTTTCTTTTTTTTTTAATATATACTAGGAATGGAACACAGAGGTGCTTAACAACTAAGCCACATCCCCAGCCTTATAAATTTTATTTATTTACTTTTGTTTTGAGATAGGATCTAATTTGTTCAGGGGGTCTCTAACATATACTGAGGCTGTCTTTGTACTTGGAATCCTTCTGCCCATAACATGGGATTACATGCCTGTTCTGTTTCTGGTCTAAACTGTAAAATAACGCTCTTAAATTTTAATATGCATGCAACTGAAACAAAGTGAAAAATACACCAGGTAGAGCCATAGAGAGCTGTCTAGGACAATGAAGAATGCACACTTACACTGGAGACATCAGCCTGACTCTGTTAGATCAGAAAGGCAGACAGGAGGGTTTCACTGGACTTCAGCCAAAGGGGAAGCACACAGAGTTCTCAGGGTCACAGCAACACCCCCAGGACATCCTGAGCCATGAACCACACCTCTACAAGCATGCAACCCCAAAGAAATCCCATGTATACTCAAAGAACATGGAGGGTAAAGCAGAAATCAGATAAGAAGCATCCAGAAAGCCTTTAGACAAATGGAGGTGATGCACAGGGCTCTAAACAGATCAAGAGAAAGAGGTGACTGGAGAGAAAAGGTGACCATTCTAAAGGAAATACAATGTAAAAGTCCACCATAGGAAATCTGTAGAAAACAGCACAGGGGATGCTTCATTGGTACCTAAGTCATCGAAAGCACATTTCAGAAAAGAAGAGCTAAAGCAACCATTGAAACTTCCACTTCAGGAGACCAGAGAAAGAAGAGCAGGTAAACCTAAATCAAGCACAGGAAGGTAACAGAGTGGGTGTTGATAAAACAGGAAATCCGCAGTCTGCAAAATCAAGCCCTTCATGAACATCAGCATCACTGATAAACTGACATAAGGCTAAGAATACAGAGGACAGGGATTGGGATTGTGGCTCAGTGCAAGAGTGCATCCCTAGCATATGGGAGGAACTGGGCTCAATCATCACCACCATGCAAACAAAATAAATAAAATAAAGGAATAAAATATACAATAACTTTAAAGCAAAGAGCAACAGAACTGATAAACTAAGAGAATTAAAAGTATCATCATGACAAATGCATTGAGATTAAAGATTTTCATGAATATGTGCTTGACACAAATTAGACAACTTAGAGATATTGGACCATTTCTCTGAGAGAGACAATCTCCTACAACTTACACACAGGGTAAATACACAAAAGAGATGAGCCCATGGTTACTGAAAAAACAGACTCAATAACTAATTACTAACCAAAAAGACAAGGCAAGGCTCTGACATCTCAAACAGGCTTCCATGAGACACATAAGAACTGCCACCAATTTTCTACTTTTTTTCCTACAACACACAAGGCAAGTTAAACCTCCTAATTCTTTTGAGACTTAAGTTAACAAATTATCCAAATTAAATAGATAAAGAAAAGTATTAAATAAAAAAAGATATTATGAATGACTCTCATGATCATCAATGCAAAATTCCTCACCAAACATTACTGAATTGAGACCAAAAATAAAATTATATACCGCAGCCAAGAGGGAATTATTACAACTCTGGGAGGCTGATTCAAAACTGGAAAATCAGTTAACATTATCCATCACAACACAAAGCTAAATAATAAATATCATGACTACATCAATAGTTAAAGAAAAAAGTTAAGAATAATGGAAAACACACACTCAAGCTCAGAAACACATCAATGTCTTGATAGACAGCGTGATCCTCTTCTCTATGTGGAATCATGAAGAATCATGAAAAGCAACGAGATGATATTAGTGTTGTCATGCTAAATAAGAGGACAATTATTATATGACTGACATCAGCAAGCTGGGCATGCAGGCAATGCACATGGTCTCTAACACTCAGGGGGCTGACCACTAACACTCAGGGGGCTGACCAGGATGGTCACCACTTTGAGTCCAGACTGTGCAATTTAGCAAGTCTGTGTTTAAAATAATAATAATAATAATAATAATAATAATAATAATAATAATAATAATAGAATTGGGAATGTCGCTCAATGGTAGATCAGCCCTGAGTTCAACACCCAGCACCAAAAACAAACACCTCTTATACAGCACCAATAAAAGAGAAATACTCATATATAAATCTGATAAGAATCTATAAAAAAAAAACCTGCAAACTTCTAATGAGAGTGCGAAAGACAAGGCAAATACATGCAGATATTTCATGTTCACAGATGAGAAGCCTCAGGGTCATTATTAATTCTTACCAATTTCAGTTATGGATTCAATATGATCCCAATAAAAATTACTTTATGTTTTCAGTAAAAGATCAAGAACAACCAACACAGTCATGAACACTAAATTCTCAGGATGGACACCACCTGAGGTTAGGAACTACTAAAAATCTACAATCATCAAGAGTGTGGTATTTGGCACAGTATAAATATATTCCACTGATTTTTTAAAAAAGGAGCAAAGAAAAATCAATGGAAAATATACTCTCCTGGAAAAAATTGCCAAGGCACCCGGACATTAATATGCAAAAAAAGAAAAAATATTCACTTCACAAATGTCACAGAATCAGCTCCCAGTGGAAGCTCAGACACAGAGCTGGGGCTGCAGCTCTAGCATAGCACCTGCCTGGCACTTAGCAGGCTCTGGGTTCACTTGTCAGCACCAAAAAAAATTGCCTATACATCATAGTACAAAATGCAAACTTCAGAACTTCACTAAAATGACACAGAAGTACTTACAGAGAAACCTGGGCTGGCATGACAGCTTCATATGCAACATCAGACACATGATCTGTGAGTGAAAAACTTGTAAATCGAACTTGATCAAAATGAAGTTTGTGTTTTTCAAAAGATGCACTTGACAGAATGAGAAGACATGCTGGAGAACTGGACAAAATGTTGTCACGACACATGGTGACACTGGGTTGGTATTCAACATGCAGGAAGAACACTCAGTAAGAAAGCAAGCAACTAAGTTGGAAGTGGGCAAAAAAACCTGGAAAGACACTTATCCAAGAAATAGAGACTGTTAACACAGGTGTGAGAAGATATTCACCAGCATTTAATTAGGAAACTTTAAATTAAACAATAAGGTGCTACCAGATACCCACTGGAGTGGCCAAATGCCAAACACTGAAAGACAGAGAAAACATGAATCGGCAAGAACTCTTCCCTTGCTCAGGTGAACAGAAGGGTAACAGCCTCTCTGGAAGACAGTCACGCTCTTACCAAATAAACATGGTGCACTCCAGAATTAAGTCACCACACTCTCAGGTGTCTACCCAAATGAGATAAAAATCATGTGCACAGAAAACCTCACAGCTGCGACTACAGCAGCCATATCCAAAACTGCCCAAAGCTAGATGCAAGGAAGATGCACCTTTCAATACTGAATGGACGAGCTGCAGTTTAAGGACACCAAAGAACATCACCCAGTAAATGAGCTCTGCAGCCTGGAAAGACACAGCACCCTTAAAGGCAGACTGGTAAGTGAGAGAAGCCAGTTTGAAATGGCCAAGTGCAGTAAGATTCCAAGTCAAGAACATTCTGGAAAAAACAACATTTTAGATGCAGTAGCAGAATTGATGGGTGCCAGGGACTCAGGGAGCAGAGAAGGAGGGAGGAATGAGGAGGAGTGATGAACAGGGGGAACACAGGATTCACAGAGCAGTGAAACTCTTCTGTATGACATTATCTTGTAAATTACGTGACACACACAATCACATCACACAGAGGAGGAACCGTAAGGGATGAACTTTGGCTTATCATAATGTGTTCCTCCATCCACTCTCTTCATCAAATGTCCAACACTGGTTCAGTAACTGATATCCTACACCAACGCAAGATGTTGAAAACAGTGGAGAGTATAAATTGGAGATAGGGATGTTTGATACTATGTGTAACGAATGGCTCATTTGAATTGTCGACTTGATTGGATTAAGAGATACTGATAGGAAGGGGCTTCTGGGTGTGTCTGTGAGGGTGTGTCTAGGAATGATTGGCATGTGAGATAGCCAACTGAGGTGGGGAAACCTCCTTCAGCTAGGCAGCCCCATCCAATAGGACAGTGTCTTGGGTGGAACAAAAGTTTGAAGGAGGAGGAAGCAGCAGCAGAGCAAGCCCCTTTCTTCTCCAATGGCAGCTGCAGTGGCCTGAGGATATCAGACTCTGCCTTCTTCACTCTCCCAAAGTGGACTCTGCCTGTGATTCTCCAGGGAGTTTCCAGAACCTTTGGTCTGGACTAGGGCAGCACCACTGATCCCTCTTGTTCTGAGGCTTCAGCCTCTTGGACTCTGCAGCTACTACTAACAAGCTCTCCAGCTGCAGATGGCCACTGTGGACACACAGCTTCAGTCAAATAGGCCAATCTAATAAGTCCCCTTTTATAATCACACTCCCTGTTGATACTGTTCCTATAGCGAACATCGACTAATAAATTATGTAAGCCTGAAATTGCTCTGGAAAACAAAGTTTATTTAATCAAAAAAGGGGATTAATATCTTGCCATCGAGTCTCACAAATATATACCCAAGTATCAATATGACATACTGAAAACCTTTTTCATAATAATGCAAAAATAAAGGAAAGAGGAAGAGTCATAGTTTCAAATTTCAAAACTCGAGACAAAAAGCAAGGAAACGGATTTTCAATACTGTGTCCATATGGAGAGAAATGGGATGATAAGTCTTTAAAAGGCATTCCAAGTGCTGGTGTGGTGGTGTTGTTATGGGCGAGGCTGTATGGACAATGACCAAACAGACTCCATTTTACCCTGAGACTCCATATCATGTAAGAAATGCTTCTCCCGTGGAAAAGCCCCTCCTCTGTACCCCCTAATAGTTACCTAGCATAACATACTTGGCAACACAAAATAACAATTCTTATATAATGTGAAATTGTTCTCTTTGGTTTCCATTTTTCTTGGGCAATGTACCTTTGCTGCCATTCTGGTTACCGATGTGGTCAATTAGTTTCTCAGCTACCTTAGTCGTGGGGTGGGGGAGATAGAGTGGGGCGTGCGTGCCCATCAATCGTACACAAGCAAGATAATATCCATAAGCCAATCATCTTATGCCTAATGTAACCACCCTAGGAGGGTGCTCTAAATATGGCCATCATCAGGAAGGGTCTTTGTCCCTAGGGAAGGGGGTTTCTAAGAAGTTCCATGTCGAAGCTCCTGGCTATCAGTTTCCTGGCCTGGCAGCTTGGCAATGCTAACCACAAAGCTAAGGATGTGGTTTCACGAACGGCTCACTAGAACAGAGCATCCCATCCTGCAGCCCTTCCTATCAGGCCTGAACGAGTGGAGATTCTTCAAGCACTCAGAGCTGCTCAGAGCTGCTCGCTGCAAACGGAAAGTTATTCCAACATTCCTTGTCAGAGGTTGATTGTCTAGATGTTAATAACCATTGTCTAACTTGTACTGAACTAGGGTCATTTTGACCCACTTCCCTTCTGCTGGCTTGCTGCTCCGCCAACCTGGAAAGTCCTGCGGGGAATACCAATGTACCCATTGCATTGTCTCGCTAAATGCCCAATTCAGCTTCTGCACCTGCTTACTTATAGTTGCGTCAACCCAGATGGAGTTTTTACCTTTAAATATCTTAAAATGCTCAGGCTTGGAGCTGTTCCTTGCAGAGAAAGTTACGGGTCCTGCGGGGAGCCATCGCTGGCTGGCCAGCTACATAAAGACTCTTCAATTCGGACAGAACTGGGACTTGATATGTTTTCTGAGGGACCTGCCCCGCAACAATGTGCACCTGCAATTTCAGCAACTAGGGAGGTTAAGGCATAAAAATGGCAAATTTGAGGCCAGTCTCAACAACTTAGAAAGACACTCAGAAATTTAGCGAGACTGGTCTTCATCAAAAATAAAAAGAAGGGACTGGGACTATAGCTGAGTGACAGACCATTTTCTAGCATGTGTGAGGTACTGGGTATGATCCTCAGCACCACAGAAAAATAAACAAAATAAAGATATTTTGTCCATCTACAACTATAAAAAATAAAATAAGATAAAAAAAATAAAAATAAATAAATAAGAATAAGGGCTGAGGATATTCTCAGTGATTTAGTCCCCAGTAAAACACCTGCCCACCTCCAAAATACTGTTCACAAAGTTGAAATTCTTTTTTGGAGGATAACTAAGCATGAGCAAGTTCATGGCTTCAATCCACAGTAATCAGTAAGTAAGCAAATAAATAAACAACAGTCCATAATATTAATTTTCTTGGTCTGGAGAGTAGCTTAGTAGTAGAGAATTTGACAGGCATGCATGTGGCCCTCAGTTCAATCCCCCGCAGTTCACATACAAAACAAAACAAAACAAACCATCTAAAATACATGTAATGAGTGATAAAAAAATGATTATAATAAAAAAATATACAATAAGAGGCATAAAATACAACAAAATCAATAGAAAGACAACACACTTTCTCACAAAGGAGACTGAATGTTCCCATGATCTACACTCTCTGAAAAAAACACTGAACATTTCAGTAAATTCTGTGAACTGTAGGGCATGGTTTCCTGTGTTTTTTGGGTGAACTTAAGAAAAACTACATCTAAAAATGGGAGTAGTAGACTGTATCCAAGACCAGCCAAAAATGTGGTACAGAACAGAGTGAGTAGAGAGAGCATTTATCTTACTTCCAGTTTCATAAGCTAAAAGGCCAACTTCCAAAGGAGTGGCCCTAGGAAGAGGCAGTTGGCAGTGAACAGGAATTAGGTGACATGGTGAGAGTGCTCATGAAGGGGACCAGCACCCTTATTTAGACACATGTATCTCTCCTACCCAGAAAATGGGTGTCATTTACTATTTCACTGATAAATTATTCAGTGGTTAAATGATCACAGTTGGGTATTTTAGGTATTGCCAAAATCGTCCTTAAAATTTACAATGAAGATGGGTGCAATGCTGTACACCTGTAACCCCAGATGTGCAGGGGTCAGAGGCCCTAGGCAATGTGGTAAGACCCTGGCTTCAAACAAATAATCTGAAAGGGGCTGGGAATGTGGCTCAGTGGTTAAGCACCTCTGGATTGCATTCCTGATACCAAAAAAACCCACACAGTTAACAGGAACTTGTCAAGTCCAGACAACAACAGCAACAAACAGTCATCCCCTGTCAAATTCTCCACCTTGGAAAGGACAGAAACTGATGTTTTCAAGAAATAACATTCATAAATTTATACATCACTATTTTTGAAGAAATCGGTTCATATTCTGCAGCAACAATGCAAAAGAAAGTTTCTCTCTATCTTAAGTGGCATTTGGAATCTAGGACCTGGATTTCAGACAAAATTGAATCTCACAAACTTTCTATACATACTCAGGGTAAACTTAAGAAAAACTACAGGGATAGCAAAAGGTAAATTAGTTTTGTTTGTTTGTTGTTGTTGTTATGGTACCAGGGAATAAACGCAGAGTCATTTTATCACTGAGCCACTTTCCAGCCATTTTCATATTGCATTTTGAGACACAGTCTCCTCAAGTTGCATAAGGCCCAGCTAAGTTGCTAACGCTGTCCTGAAATTTGCAATCTTCCTGTCTCATCCTCTGGAGCTACAAGGATCACAGGTGTGCACCACTGCACCTGGCTGAAAATTAGGATTTTTAACAACGGAAATGTAACTAGACTTTTTTAATCCACTTCTTTCAAAAGTGGTATTCTTGCCAGGGACAGTGGGAAGGGGTCTTGGGAAGTTCAAGAAGGAGGATCACAAGGTGGACGCCAGCTTCCACAACAACTGGGAGGACAGCTCAGAATTAAATAAAAGGAGAGCCTGGGGATGTGGCTGAAAAAGCTCCCCGAGTTTGGATCCCGAATTAAAAAGAAAAGAACTATTCTCTCCAATATTTCACTAGATGAAAAGTGACAATCAGCGGACGGTGTCCATTTGGACCGAGTGGGAAGAACGGACGTCTGGCCGAGCTGTGAGGTGGAGGGAAGGTGGGTTTAGAGGCAGGAGGCGCCTGCAATTTGGGGGACCTACAGCAGCCTCCCGAGGAGCTCCCCTGGGAGGAGGAAGGTGCATTTGTGGCCCTGCTTCCTCCACGTTGGGAACAGTGGGTCGGGCCACCAGTAGGGAGCAAAGGGGACACCAGGGCCCTGAGCCCCCTTTCCAAACCCAGGGAACCAGGGAACAGGGCCACCTGACAGCGGAGACTCCGAGGCGCTCGGTAGCTCCCCTCAAAAACCCAAAACCCAGCTCACCCCGCGAGCCTAGTGGACAGGGCCCAGGGCCACCCGCCAGCGCGGACTCCACTGCGCTCCCCAGCTCACCCGCGCGCAGGGCCCCGAGGCAGGTGCTGACCGTGCACCTTCAGCCCTGGTCGCAAACTCACCATTTTTGATTTCTGTGGTGACCCGGGGTCCTCTGGAGGAACCTCCGGGCACCCGAGATGGGGGTGTGGGGGGTCACAGGCAGCAGAGACACCCGAGTCCCTGGAGCAGAGAACTCGAGTCGTGGGGAAGGAGTAGCCCAGTTGGAGAGGAAGAAAAGCCCGCGAGATTGCGGAAGCCCGCCCTTCCCCATTTTATGCGCACTGATTGGACAGTTCCCCCCAGCTTCCCGGATGGATGGCCTCCAGGCCCGCCTCTGCATCGTGACTGACAGCCTAGGTGTCCAATCACTGGCTGAAATTGGGTTAGTGACAGATTCTTGGCCCCAGCCCTTTTCAGGCGGAGCTTCCCCGCTGTGCTGGGAACTAATCCGGTTGAAAGCCCTGGCTTAGCCTCTGGTACGGAGGTGACATGTGGCTCTGCTATATGTGTGCAACAGCCACAGAGTGCTTTCTGAGCATGGCGAGGCCCTGGGTTTAACCTCAACACAAAAATAAACCATAGCTTCTCTGGGAGGCTGAGGCTGGAGGAGCCCAAGGTCAGTGAGTCCTTGTCTTAAAATAAAAGGAAAA